TCCTGGGCAGGAATGCGCCCATTCCTGAGCCACAAACCTTCCTGGGGCTGATGTATTCCTGCAAATTCTTTGGCCTCACTCTTCAGCCCCTTGCCCAAGCTGAGGTCCAACGCCAAGGGCCTTCTGGCGGTTCGTTCCCTCATTGCGAGAAGCAAAGCTACAGGGAACCAGGCAGAGGGCCTTCTCGGTAGTGGCGCCCGCCCTGTGGAACGCCCTCCCATCAGATGTCAGAGAGATAAACAACTACCTGACATTCAGAAGACATCTGAGGGCAGCCCTGTTCAGGGAGGTTTTTAATGTGTGACATCTTAGTGTATTTTTGGTCTTTGTTGGAAGCCGCCCAGAGTGGCTGGGGAAACCCAGCCAGATGGGCGGGGTACAAATAATAAATTATTATTATTATTATTATTATTATTATTATTGGCTTGTTCCGTTGCTCTAACCCAGTTCCTCAGCTCCAACACCGTGGCCCAGCTCCTGACACCCTCCTCACCTCTGACTGCTGCCTGTGGCTCAGCCCCTGGGCAAATGCTGACCACGAGTGCTGGTTTGGCACCTAAACATCTACCACAATGCCTGGAATATGAGGGAAAGCAAAGATGGCCCTAAATGACATTTGAAGACTATGTGAAAAAAAGCCCTCCTCAAAATTCTGCATCCTATTTGCAGGCGGTGAAACTGGTGGAAATTCACCAAATATTCTCTGAATATTTATTCCCATGAGTTTCAGGATATCAAAGAGAGACAGACAGACAGAGCATGCATGTTGTACCAATGCAGTTACATTTCATGAAATGTACGACTCATTGCTGCTTTTCCTAAAAAAAAAACCACACACGCAGCAGTCTGCCAAAAAACCAAAACAAATGCAACTCCACATTTTTTTTAAAAAAAATCTGGTTTAGCTTGCTGGTGGCTGGCTGTGGTTGTTCCAGGGTCCCAAACCAGCCCATGGGCTTCGAACTGATCAGCTGTATCCTACATAGTCCATAAGGCAGGTGTGGTCAACCGGGTGTCCTTCAGCTGTTTTGGGACTACAAATCCCATCATGCCTGGCTCTTGTTCGTGCTGACTTGGACTGATGGGAGTGGTAGTCCAAAACATCAGGAGGTCCCCTTGTTCGTTACCCTGTCATAAGATATGAGATAGGATTTTAAAATTATGTGTCCCCTCCCCCATATTATGCAATGAGATTAAGGAAAGAAAACCCTCCTCAATCACAACCTCGTTTCCTTTCTGTTCTACTCTATTTTAGTCCTCATTTCTGGTTTGCCAAGTTCCTTTCGCTAATCTTCTTTAAAGTAGGACTCTCAAGTTCTCCACCAGATGGCAATATAGCCGCACTCAAGAAATGAAAAGTTTGATTATTCAATTCATCACAGAAACCACCTAGTGGCACTGTACCCTCCCAAATAAAATCTCACTGCAAATTCTCAAGGTCCTTCCTCTGGCTAGAAAGTGGACTGCACAACTGGGGGTCATTGCTTTTTTAAAAATACCGTATTTTTTGCTCTATGAGACTCACTTTTTCCCTCCTAAAAAGTAAAGGGAAATATGTGTGCGTCTTATGGAGCGAATGCAGGCTGTGCAGCTATCACAGAAGCCAGAACAGCAAGAGGGATTGCTGCTTTCACTGCGCAGCAATCCCTCTTGCTGTTCTGCCTTCTGAGATTCAGAATATTTTTTTTCTTGTTTTCCTCCCCCAAAAACTAGGTGCGTCTTGTGGTCTGGTGCGTCTTATAGAGCGAAAAATACAGTAACTTAAAAACCTGTGTGCTTCTCCCCTTTATACGTTTGCAATCCCCAAAGGATCAGGTAACGGGAGTGACATCTTGTCTCCAACAATGGCTGACCAAACATTGCCAGGATGTTCACTAAGTTTGTTATTGGCATGAGCTTACATGTGCATGCATGTATCTGGAGAAGTGTGCATGCACACAAAAGTTCTAACCAATAACAAACTTAGTTGGTCTCTAAGGTGCTACTGGAAGGATTTTTTTTTTATTTTGTTTCGACTACAGCAGACCAACACAGCTACCTACATGGCAAGAGGGGAAGGGAAGCCATTGATAATTTAAGGTTGTTGAAGTGAATATTATAAAATGTAAAACAGAAATTTAATAAAAAATATTAAACTCAGATGGGCAGGTTATAAATGTTGTTGTTGTTAAATACAACGTCCCTATTTTCATCAGAAAAATGTTGGAGCGAATGCCACCCAACCAGCCGCAGAAATCGACATGATTGCGTTTCCCTCCATCTCAGTATTGGGAAAAGCTTTCCCTGTTGAACATCTACCTGTCACTGTGCAGCTGTGAAATGTGCTGAAGGAGCCCTGTCAGAAGGAAAATCCAAACAGAACATGCCCACCTTCCTCGAGGATGGCGGACAGGGCATGGTTTCACAAAGAACGACACCCTGTCTCTAATGGTCGGGAATCGGGGACAGGCCTGGAAGAGGGGTTTGAATACTTTAAGTGTCATAAATTCAATTCTAGCCCCCGTTGCGTTCAGGCTGGAGGTCGGACTGTGATCAGCGGCGGCGGGAAAGGAAGGCGAGGGGAGTCTGTAACAGAGGCCAAGAAGAGGCTCACTCCCAGTTCCTTGAGAAAGGAAGTTTTAATGACACAAACAACAACACCCACCACCACCACTGACAAAAGAGGAAAAGGAGGAAAGTGAGAAAAGCCTCCCCCCCCCCCCGCAGGGCCAGTTCCCATGGAGACCCCGAGGAAGTTTGAACCAGGCTTGCGCTTTTCACAGCCGCCTTTGAGTCATGGAGGGCATTATGGCCATTGATAAAGGGAGACGTGCGCTCTTTTGGTCGCAAGGGCCGGCCTCTCTAGTTAGCAGCAGGCCCCCCCTCCGACTCATTTTCCCCTCCGCCAAAAGGGGGGTGGGGGGAATCTAGGGCAAACCCATCCCTGCTCCCTCTCTCCCCCTCCCTCTCTTTGGAATCCCTTTCCAAGAACTCAGAGAGGTACTGTGTTTAGCAACCAGTTTTCCAAGCCTCCGTCCACCCCCTGCCATCAATTTGGGGTGCGAGCAAACCCCCGATTCGCTATAGGCTCCCCCAGTTGGCATTTATCTGCCAGGGACTATCCCCCCCCACCGGAGTCTGTGCCTAGTAAATTGCTGCTGTTGTTAGACTTTACAGTGGAACCTCAGGTTAAGAACTTAATTCGTTCTGGAGGTCCGTTCTTAACCTGACACTGTTCTTTACCTGAAGCACCACTTTAGCTAATGGGGGTCTCGCGCTGCCGCAGCGCCGCCGGAGCACAATTTCTGTTCTCACCCTGAAGCAAAGTTCTTAACCCGAGGTAATATTTCTGGGTTAGCGGAGTCTGTAATCTGAAGCGTATGTAACCTGAAGTGTACGTAACCCGAGGTACCACTGTATTTTGCTTTCGGAGGAGACCTTCAGGTGCCTTCTTGAAAATTTCACACAAGCTCCAGAGTTCTGGACCTGAGTTTCTCGTGTCTTTGACTTTAAACCTCTGGGAGATGTGCCCTGATATTCTAGCACATGTGAAGGTAAATGGAGGCGCATGGTCCAATAGCTGCAGCAGGGCTTCTATTCCGTTATTTTCTCTCCCACCCACCGCCCACCCCAATAACTGCCTGAGCACATTTTAAATGCTTCTGAGCGATAAAAATGAAAGCACATTTGCAAAGCTAAGCAGGGTTGGGTATGGTTTCAAAATTGGATGGGGGACTGCACGCTGAGATTCCTGCATTGCAAGGGGTTGGAAAAGATGAGCCTCATCTCGGGTTTTTCCAACTCATGATTCAATTACAGTCGTACCTTGGAAGTCGAATGGAATCCATTCCGGAAGTCCGTTCGACTTCCAAAACGTTCGGAAACCAAAGCGTGACTTATGATTGGCTGCAGGAAGCTCCTGCAGCCAATCCGAAGCCGTGGAAGCCCCGTCGGATGTTTGGCTTCCAAAAATAGTTCACAAACTGGAACAGTCACTTCCGGGTTTGCAATGTTTAGGAGCCAAAACGTTCGGGAACTAAGCTGTTGGACTTCCAAGGTACGACTATACTCCATAATGGCCACAACCAGAACCATTCTGGCCTTGAGCATCCCACCAGATGTTATTTGGCTGAAGAAAATTGTTGTTTCATACATGCTGTACCTTTAAAGTGCCTCCAAAGCACATCCATTCCCAGAGAGAATTCTGGGTGCCGTAGTTTGCAGGGGCTTTCTGGGAATTGTAACTTTGTGATGCGTGAACTACAGTACCCATAATTCATTGAGGGAAAGAATTGGTTTCGAGTGTGTTTTAAAGGCCAAGCGTGTACACAGCCTACCAACGCTCCTGCTTCAGAAGCCAATGTAAAAGGTAAAGGTAAAGGGACCCCTGACCATTACGTCCAGTCATGACCGACTCTGGAGTTGCGGCGCTCATCTCGCTTTATTGGCCGAGGGGTTAGGGTTCCAGGTCATGTGGCCAGCATGACTAAGCCACTTCTGGCGAACCAGAGCAGCGCACAGAAACGCCGTTTACCTTCCCGCTGGAGCGGTACCTATTTATCTACTTGCACTTTTGAGGTGCTTTTGAACTGCTAGGTTGGCAGGAGCAGGGACCGAGCAATGGGAGCTCACTCGGTCGTGGGGATTCAAACCGCCGACCTTCTGATCAGCAAGTCCTAGGCTCTGTGGTTTAACCTACAGCGCCACCCGTGTCCCTCTAGAAACCTATGTAGGCCCGAGTAAATCAGGCTACAATCCTAACACACATTTGCTAGGAAGCGAGCCCCACTGAACACGCTAGAAAATATAGGGGTATGTTGTAAATTTGCTGACTAGCTGTTGAAGAAGAACCTTCAGCAGTGCATAGTGGGGGTGGTAAAGAGAGAGCAAGTCAGAGAACGATCCTTGGGGAAATAACAGGGGTGTAACCACATATTCAAGAGCAGCCCTATTTTCATTTGTGCAATGTTGGGTGGGGACATGTTTCGCTGGGATTATTTTATTAACAAATATTTGATGCATTTGGAGATAAGAAGAAAGTTACTTGCAGAAGTGTTCAGAGCCACCGCTCCATCAAGGAATGCTCATGGCAGCTGCACCAGATTATTCTTCTTTTATGTGCTGCTTTTATGTCCCTTGAAATGAAGCTGAGGCTCATCCACACTCCTGTTTGTCCCGTGATTTCCAGGAGAGGTTCTTCCTTTGTGCCGCCGCCTTTCTCAGGAAAACCTGCTGTTTGCTGCTGAACCGGAACAAGCGTCCACAGTGTTTTCTGCAGGTTGAAGTTTGTTCCGATTCAGTGGGAAACCGAGGTTTCCTGGGGAGAGTGGGGAGACCAGAGAAAGGCTCTTTCGGAGTCGTGCCTAGAAATATAAGGAGAAATGAAGGAATAGTGGGACAATGGGAAATGTGGATGAGCACTTGCACCAGCTTTTGGTGATGGGGGAATTTCAGCACAAGAGGGCCAGTGTGGTGTAGTGGTTAAGAGCAATAGACTCGTAATCTGGGGAACCGCGTTCGCGTCCCCGCTCCTCCACATGCAGCTGCTGGGTGACCTTGGGCTAGTCACACTTCTCTGAAGTCTCTCAGCCCCACTCACCTCACAGAGTGTTTGTTGGGGAGGAAGGGAAAGGAGAATGTTAGCCGCTTTGAGACTCCTTTGGGTAGTGATAAACCGGGATATCAAATCCAAATTCTTCTTCTTCTCCTAATTCTTCTTCTTCTTCTTCTTCTTCTTCTTCTTCTTCTTCTTCTTCTTCTTCTTCCTCTTCCGATTTGAGAAACCACCTGCCCTCTTGTGCTGAAATTCCCCCATCACTGAAAACTGGTGCAAGTACTCAGAGGAGTGGCCAGGCACTGGAACTTGTGTGACAGCAATGTACTGTAGGTCAGATCTGCATTTACATCCAGGGAGGTAATAATTCATAATAATAATTTCATTATTTATACCCCGCCCATCTGGCTGGGCCTCCCCGGCCCCTCTGGGCGGCTCCCAACAGAACACTAAAAACAGAATAATACTTCAAACATTAAAAACTTCCCTAAACAGGGCTGCCTTCAGATGTCTTCTAAAAGTCAGATAGTTGTTTATTTCCTTGACATCTGATGGGAGGGTGTTCCACAGGGAGGGTGCCACCACCAAGAAGGCCCTCTGCCTGGTTCCCTGTAACCTCACTTCTCGCAGTGAGGGAACTGCCAGAAGGCCCTTGGAGCTGGACCTTAGTGTCTGGGCAGAAGGATGGGGGTGGAGAGGCTCCTTCAGATATACTGGGCCGAGGCCATTTAGGGCTTTAAAGGTCAGCACCAACACTTTGAATTGTGCTTGGAAATGCACTGGGAACCAATGTAGGTCTTTCAGGACCGGTGTTATATGGTCTTGGCAGCCACCCCCAGTCACCAGAAGGGTTTTCTCTTGCAATGAAAACAACAAAGACCATTTCCTCCCGGGGAATTTTCTTGTGGACCCATGGGTACATGTTTTGAAGTGTCTACAATCTGTCAGCCTCACCCAAATACCATCCCATGTTACTTTCCCTGGGATTTACTGTTTCAGCTGAAAATCTGCAGAGTATAAAGCCCCCGCACCAGAAATGGTAAATCCAGATTAAATGCTGGAGAAAATATACAGGCTGACATTTTGGTGAGAATAACGGCATACGGACACAGCAAAAATCTTGCAGGCATGGACACTTTGACTACATTAGAGTGACTTCTGGGTGGGTTTCAAGATCCTTGAAGGGCTAATGAATGTATTATGGCATAACCCTTTGCAGACTACACTTCATGGTGCATCTGATGATGTGGACTGTGGTTCATGAATGCAGTAATAAAATTGTTAGTATTTAAAGTGCCACAATACCCTGCTGTTATTTATATTGTTGTTTGTCCATTTGCCATAGGTAAAGGTAAAGGGACCCCTGACCATTAGGTCCAGTGGTGATCGACTCTGGGGTTGCGGCGCTCATCTCGCTTTATTGGCCGAGGGAGCCGGAGTACAGCTTCCGGGTCATGTGGCCAGCATGACTAAGCCACTTCTGGCGAACCAGAGCAGTGCACGGAAATGCCGTTTACCTTCCCGCCAGAGCGGTACCTATTTATCTACTTGCACTTGACGTGCTTTTGAACTGCTAGGTTGGCAGAGCAGGGACCGAGCAACGGGAGCTCACCCCATCTCGGAGATTCGAACCGCCGACCTTCTGATTGCCAAGTCCTAGGCTCTGTGCTTTAACCCACAGCGCCACCTGCATCCCTCCATTTGTCATAGGGGAGCATTAAAAAATGAGATTTGCCCTCATCTGCACTCCGAAGTGGTGTGGCATATTATACTATCTGAGGACCCCAAGACCCCATTCCCTGCTGGTGGAAATGCAGAATTTCTAGAAGTTGACAAACAGAAGAAAAGTCTATGTCCTTCTTCACCAAGCTGTGGCCCTCCAGATGTTTTGAACAACAACTCCCATCAGCCTTGGATAGCTCAGCTAGATACTAGGTTGGTGAAAGCTGGTCTATTATCGCAGCACACACACAAAAAATCAAGGCAATTTTACAAGAATATTATGCTTCCTAACACACAATACATTTTAACTCTTTTTTGTGTGTTCCCCACTGCTATATCTGAGGAAAATAATGGAGCACAGAATTCAGCATGCGGACAATCTCAGTTTATGTACTCCCTGCCCTCCCTTTTAGAAAAGCTAGTTTCTAGTCCTCAGGTAAGCGAAGCCGTTTGGAAAGATTGGGGAACTAAGCAGGATTTCAGCAGTCAGTGTGAAATGGGCTTAGTTCAGTTCCTCCTCTCCGCATGACTAACAGAGGCAGAATCAATTATACAAAACAAGCAGCCATATCTACATCTGTTTAATTTGCATAAACTTGTTCAAGTTATAGAATCGCCTTGGCACAGAATTAATTGCAGTGCTGTTTGTGCAGCTCCTGTTCATTTCTGCTGGGTTGGATACTTGGAACAAAACAACACCCCAGTGGATTGTGTACCTAGATCTAGAGCAGGCTTATCTTAGATCTACTTTGTTTTCTTACTGGAATTCTAAAGATCTAGTAAACGGAGCCAGGTGCAAAAGACCTACATTTAGAATGAAAGAACAGGGTGCCTCTGAGCATATTCGGATCTTAGGAATTTTGTCCTCAGCAGCGAAACAGAACTGAGCTTTCATGCAAAAGCCCGTTTCTAGTTAGTCTTCTTCAGTAGCCTAACGTAAGTGGGGAAAGTCATTAGCTGATCAACTGCAGACCACTCAGAGATCTGCCAGTACATCCTGATCTATGACAGAAACACTTTGGGGGCAGCCTGAAAGAACTGGACACCACCCCCACGAGGAACAGCACAGAAAGAGCCAGTCCACTCACTGCACTCCCATGACATCTTTCCATCAATCACAACCAGTGTGGCGTAGTGGTTAAGAGCGGTGGACTCATAATCTGGTGAACCAGGTTCGATTCCCCGCTCCTCCACATGCAGCTGCTGGGTGACCTTGGGCTAGTAACACTTCTCTGAGGTCTCTCAGCCCCACTCACCTCACAGAGTGTTAGTTGTGGGGGAGGAAGGGAAAGGAGAATGTTAGCCGCTTTGAGACTCCTGAAGGGGAGTGATAAAGCGGGATATCAAATCCAAAACCAGCTAGTCCTACCATTGTGCTCTCCATGAGCGACTGTAAGAGGTCAACATCGTGGTATATGCCTACAGAGGTTTGAATCCCTGTCACAAGTCCCATCTGCACTACACATTTAAAGCAGTATCATCCTGCTTTAAACAGTCATGGCTTCCCTCAAAGAATCCTGGGAAATGTCATTTGTTAATGGTGCTGGGAGTTGTTAAAGGTAAAGGGGCCCCTGACCATTAGGTCCAGTCGTGGTCGACTCTGGGGTTGCGGTGCTCATCTCACTTTATTGGCTGAGGGAGCCGGCGTAAAGCTTCAGGGTCATGTGGCCAGCATGACTAAGCTGCTTCTGGCGAACCAGAGCAGCGCACAGAAACGCCTCTTACCATCCCGCCGGAGCTGTACCTATTTATCTACTTGCACTTTGACGTGCTTTCACTTGCACTTTGACAGAGCAACCCCGTCGTGCGGATTTGAACACCGACCTTCTGATCGGCAAGTCCTAGGCTCTGTGGTTTAACCCACAGTGCCACCCGTGTCCCCTATTTCTTTCACAGAGCAACACGTTCCCTGCAAACAGGGATTGACTGTTGCCTCTAAGAATTTACACATCACTTGGGAAGACAAGTGAATTAATGCCAGTGTACTGGAAGAAGCAAATATCACCAGTGTCGAAGCAATGATTCTTCAACATCAACTTCGTTGGACTGGTCATGTTGTGCGGATGCCTGATGATCGTCTTCCAAAGCAAGTACTCTATTCTGAACTTAAAAATGGAAAGCGTAATGCTGGTGGTCAACAAAAGAGGCTTAAAGACTCTCTCAAGGCAAATCTTTAAAAATGGAGTATAAACACCGACTACTGGGAAACACGGGCCTGCAAGCGCTGCAATTGGAGATCAGCCTTTACCGAAGGCTTTGAAGACGCTCAAACTCAGGATGAAAGGGAGAGGAAGGCATGCTTGGCAAACCCTCACCGTGATTAACTCCCGCCCAGAAACCTATGTCCCCACTGTGGAAGGACGTGTGGATCCAGAATTAGCCTCCACAGTCACTTACGGACTCACTGTTAAAACCGTGTTTATGGAAGACAATCTTACTAGGCTACGAGTGATCGCCAAAGAAGAAGATTTCCTTCACAGAGCAACAAGTTCCCTGCAAAGAGAGATTGACTGTTGCCTCTACAAATTTACATGTCTGGTAAGCAACCATCCTATTACGTTGCCCAGACTCAATCCCACACGGCCTATGTCTCATTGGAACTCCCAGCACACCCAGCCACTGCAGGAAACAGACATGACGGGGCATTTGTCACCCTCCAGGTATTAGCCGTACAAGCCAGGACTACGTTGGTTATATAAGCCACCTTAGTCATGACTGCTGGGAGGAGCGCAGAGAGAAGAAACGCCATGGCGCATCTCCATCAGCACAACCGGACGCCTTCACCTGCCCCAGCTGCAACAAAACATGTCTCTGACCATTAAGTCCAGTCGTGACTGACTCTGGGGTTGCGGCACTCATCTCGCTTTACTGGCCGAGGGAGCCGGCGTACAGCTTCCGGGTCATGTGGCCAGCATGACTAAGCCACTTCTGGCGAACCAGAGCAGCGCACGGAAACGCCGTTTACCTTCCCGCCGGAGCGGTATCTATTTATCTACTTGCACTTTGACGTGCTTTCGAACTGCTAGGTGAGCAGGAGCAGGGACCGAGCAATGGGAGCTCAGCCCGTTGCGGGGATTCAAACCGCCAGCCTTCTGATCGGCAAGTCCTAGGCTCTGTGCTTTAACCCACAGAGCCACCCGTGTCCCAATAATCAATGTACCGTACTATAAAATAAATAAGACAGTATTGTAGATGATAAAAATTAAAACTTTTTTCCTTCTTTCTTACCTGCACTGATGATAGTCATTGTTTGGTTGGGGGGGCTTTTTTCCATTTCTGGAATCACACAATCAATCAATCAATCAATCAATCAATCAGTAGATGAACTGGGTTCCACGCAGTCACAAAAACAAATTAAGCGGAAAAACCTCAAAAACAAAAATGCAAAATAAATAGAAAAAACAAAATCGCCAAACTTAATCTGTTCCAGAAGTACTTTTGACTTCCAAAATGTTTGAAAACCAGAACACTTACTTCCAGGTTTTCGGCGTTTGAGAACCAAGGAGTTTGAGTACCAATGCATTTGAGAACCAAGATACCACTGTATTTATGTTGTGCTTTTGTCCTGTATTTTTATCTTGTGAACCGCCCTGAGATCTTTGGACAAATGGCGGTATATAAATTTTCATCATCACCATCTAAGCTCTCAGGAAGTGAACACTCCCCACCAGCTCCCCAAATCTTCTTCCCCAGATCTCCTATTTACCTTTCTGCAAGAACTAAGTAGGAATGGTGGTAGTAGCAACAGCAGAAAGTGGGGAGACAAAACCCATTTCGTCCCCTTCATAATTAACATATTTTTCGCTCCAAAAGATGCACCAGACCATAAGGCGCACCTAGTTTTGGAAGGAGGAAAACAACAAAAAAATTATTCTGAATCCCAGAAGCCAGAACAGCAAGAGGAATCTGGCTTCTGGGATACGGTGTGGCTGTTCTGGCTTCTGGGATAACAGCGCCAAGCCTCTTCAGGGCAGCGGGATGAAGGCTCCCCCTGCCCGAAGAGGCTGCGCACGGCTAAGGCAGAAGCCTGGACAGGTGCGTCGCTGAAGGGGCGCTGTGCAGTTCTCCCTCTCTGAGAGGGAAAACTGTGCAGCACCCCTTCAGTGAAGCTGGAGAAGGAACAGAAGGAGTCCCTTCTGTTCCTCCTCTGGCTTCGCAGGACAGGCGCTGCGCAGAGAGGGAGAGCTGCGCAGCGCCCCTTCAGCGAAGCGGGAGGAGGAACAGAAGGGGCTCTGTTCTCCTCCCGCTTCGCTGAAGGGGCGCTACGCAGATCTACCTCTCTGCGCAGCGCCGTTCGCTCCATAAGAAGCACTCACATTTCCCCTTACTTTTTAGGAGGAAAAAAGTGTGTCTTATGGAGCGAAAAATACGGTATGTCATGCTGTGGATTTTACTGAGCCCATTGGGTGGCTTTTGAATTATACCTCTTCCCATCCTTCACTCAAACCCCTTCTCACAGGCACCATCTATTTATGACATTAAGAAGCCACTTTTGTACCTGTGTACCTGTGCGTTTAGCCAGATGTATAATCAAACAATTCAACGAATAAAAGCAAAAGTGAAGACACAAAATCATTAAGCGTCATTAAAACTGAGCCAAATTCCTTAAAGGACAAAGCCCTTTCACTGCAAGCGGGTGGGGGAGAAATGAAGCTGGCACCCAAATCAGTGAAGGTGCCTCATGGATATTTAGCGGGAGGTTGTCCCCGAAAAGGGATGCTACAGTTAAAAGGTTTTCTGTGTGGCCTTCCAGATATTGAATTCCAACCCCCATCAGCCCAGTCAGGGAAGACGGGAGCTGTAGCTGAGCGATATCTGGAAGGGCACAGAGTCACTACCTTTTATATAGTCAAACCTCAGTTGTCGAACGTAATCCTTGCACTCAAGCGGAAGCCGCGTCGGACATCCGGCTTCTGGAAAACGTTAGAAAACCAGACCATTTACTTCCAGGTTTTCGGCATTTGGGAGCTGAAACATTCAAAAACAGAGCCGTTTGACAACCGAGGTTTGTGTGTATATACAATTCTTTAGTTTTCGGAGCACTACACGTTCCTTATCTTGCAACTCTTACAACACTGAACGGCACCTCAGTAATGTTGCCCTCGTATTTATTACAGGTAAAAAGGCAAAGGGACCCCTGACCATTAGGTCCAGTCGTGGCCGACTCTGGGGTTGCGGCGCTCATCTCGCTTTACTGGCCAAGGGAGCCAGTGTACAGCTTCCGGGTCGTGTGGCCAGCATGACTGAGCCGCTTCTGGCGAACCAGAGCAGCATACGGAAACGCCGTTTACCTTCCTGACGGAGCGGTACCTATTTATCTACTTGCACTTTGACGTGCTTTCAAACTGCTAGGTTGGCAGGAGCTGGGACCGAGCAACGGGAGCTCACCCAGTGGCAGGGATTCGAACCGCCGACCTTCTGATTGGCAAGTCCTAGGCTCTGTGGTTTAACCCAGTCTGAGGCAAAACGGTTTGTCTGAGGCAGGGATAGGGAACCTGCATCCTAGAATCATAGAGTTGTCGAATTGGGAGGGACCCTGAGGATCATCTGGTTTGACCCCCTGCAATACAGGAATACGCAGCTGCCCCATACGGGGATCAAACCTGCAACCGTGGCATTTTCAGCACCATGCTCTAACCAACACAGCTATTTCCTCTGAGCCACAATTTCCATCATCCCTGCTGTGGCTGAAAGGAGTCAAGCAACATTTGGTAGTCTCCATTTCTGGCCACCAAGTGAGTTTTATGACAGGGATGAGGGGGGAAACGAGCTTCCCAATGCTTCAATGTTAACCACAGCATTACATTCGCTCTTCAATATGGCTGCTCAAATTCTTCCTCAGAAGTAACCCACTCCGAATCCTCCTTCTTCAAACCAAGACTGGACCATTTTATTTCAACGTCCGGGGCACAAAATGCAAACAACATCCCTGCCACCATCTCAGTGACTAAATATGGGATGTAATCAACGGAAAGCTATGATATTAAAAAGAACAACAATAATAAAAAGGTTTATTGAAATGAATAGGATGCTTCCATGAGGGAACTTCCTAGTGGATGATGCCTCATCTATCTGTCAGCCACTTCACTGCAGTGGCCTGCGACGCTCCTTCGCTATCCCCGTGATTAACGGATTAGCATGATTAGCAGAAACAGAAACCAAAGTATGCAAAGCAGCTTAAATTACCAAGAAAATATGCAAAACAAGAGAACCCCTGTAATTTTTCTTAAGCTACAGAATTAACAACGGAGGCCATATCATTCAACTTTTCTCAAGCACAGAATTTCGATCCCTTTCGAATATAGCAGAGATATGAAAGCTACGTCTACAGTTTAACCTTCCTCTGAATATTGGCTGCCCGGAGGTCGGGGGGAGGACAGCAGGGAGGGCTCTTATTGCTTTCATTCCCCGAATTTCCTGGAAATACCCGGTTGGCCACTCTGAGAAGATGCTGGGCCCGATGGACTCTTCTTCCTATGTCCTCATGTCCTGTTCATGATGTATTTTTTATTTATTTAAATATCTCCTCTTTGCTTTCTTAAAAAAAACGACAATAAATAAATTTAAAATTAAGTTGCAAAACTCCTTTGCGGCGGTTGCAGGGGCCAATCAGCACTATGCCCTGTCAGCCACCTCTGCTGAGCTAAATAGGACCCCAACCCGATTCATCGGAGATGGTTTTACATCTTCTTGAGTTTTAAGAGTCAGATTTTGTGCCCTGTCATCCTGATCTCCTGAATGTGACAAGTTGGCACAGTGCAGCCTCCGGCTGCGCCCTTTCCTCTTCCTGTCTGGCTTTTCGGATCAGGAGTTTTTTGTTTTCTGCTGACTCTCCTAGACACAACCGATCATTCCTTTGCCTGCATTCTAATTCTTCACCTGACTTCCAAAACCAGCGCAAAACTCTCCCCCTCAGGGTAGATTTCGTGGAAGTCAAGGCAGCTGCTTCGGAGATGGCTTTCACCTTTGCAAGGCCAGCCGGCTGATTATGCTGCAGAATGTGGGACAAGTACAGGCAAACTCTCCTCGGACGCGTCATGCGCCCTGTGGCAAAATCCACCGGCCATTTCCACGCTGGCTTTTTCCTAGGGTTAGGGCGGGGGGAGGGGAGAGCTTTCTGCAGGAGAGAAACAACATAGCTAATATATTTAAGCCCAGGAGTTGAAAGCTAGTCCGCTTTATGGAAAACATGACTCTTCTTACCTGAGCCAGGCTGCAACAGGATGGGTGAGGTGAAATTTGCTTGTGCGCCCCTGGAAGCAATGGCATGGGGTTCGCTCGCTGGACGTTCAAACTGGATCTGTGGTGTCCTGAAAAGAAGATAAATAAAGATTCCTGCTGGGTCTTTTCATGGTCCACATAGTTCCTGCCCAAAGTGAAGAGCCGAATACCCTGATGGGAACCCCACGAGGAGCACATTGGAGACAAGCGCTGTTACTATGACGATTATTTTACTTTTAGGCTGTCTGTCATTATGGTGTTTTTTTTGCAAGGTGGTCCCAACGCCACTCTCATTCCACAGAAAGCACTTGGGAGATGCCTGTGCCTTTTGCCCCATAACTTTCTCTCTAGGAGAGCTAGAGATTTGCTTTAAAAGGGGGAGGGGAGAGTCTGCAGTGCCAGTGTAAACCACCATGGTTGGCAACCCTTGGTGTAGTAAGTTACAATCCCCTCTTAACTGATACACATGCATTGAAATGGGCTGTGGCATGCTTTGGATCGCAAGGATTCAATCCCCACAACGTGTCAACGAGATAGGACTGGAAAAAACTTAAATCCTGGGAAACTTAAATCCTGGGAACTGCTGGTCATTGTAGAAGAGGAATTGTCAACGTGATACCTATGAGCACCAGAGTGCTCTAAAGTACCTCCTATGGCACTGTGAATATTCCCTCAAATGGGATACAGTCATACCTCGGGTTATAGACGCTTCGAGTTGCGCAATTTCGGGTTGCGCACCATGCCAAACCCAGAAGTACTGGAACAGGTTACTTCTGGGTTTCGGCACTCGCGCATGCACAGAAGCACTAAATCGCCCTTTGCGCATGCGCAGAAGCACCAAATCGCAACCCACGCATGTGCAGACATGGCGCTGCGGGTTGTGAACACTGCAGGTTGTGATCGTGCTTCCCGCACGGATCACAACCCGAGCGTCCACTGTACTTCATAAACAAATTCCTGCTCAGTTCCTGTTTGCATTGGCTCAGCTTCTCTTGCATTGAACACCATAAACATGTCCACATTTCATTGGAGGTCAGGGTTGGGTACTCAGCTTCCCATCTTTTCTGAATGGAGGAGAGGTGTAAAGAGCTTCTCTCTATGAGTGAGCCATTTTGGAGCCATTTTGTGCTATGCCGTGCCCCCCGGCAGCCATTTTGTGTCCGGCCTGCAAGACAATTCCAATGTACCCACTGGTCCAAAAAGGTTGTCGATCCCGGCTGTAGACAGTGCTGAACTAGGCAGGCCAATATGGTCTCTCTCAGTTAAAGGAAGCTTCCTTTATTCCTCTAATTAAAGAAAGAAAGAAGGAAATCAGAAATGCACCTATTGACCACAGTTGAATCACCACATTGTTTGATACAATAAAGTAGCTAAATAAAAAGAAGTATTCAAGGGGGGCAAGTATTCAGGGTTAAGTGATATGTGCACATTAATCTGCAATGACCATTTCAGCTTGTCACTTGCATTCATTTATATTATGATTTTAAAATTATGAAGTTACTTCTGCTAAGTTGTTGGTGAACATATCAGACACAGCCATTCTTCAAACAGCTCTTGTTTATTCACAGGCCAGAACAGAACTGAACTGAAGGGTTCACCCAGCCTGCTTATATAGAGCTCCACTAGAACGCAACAGTAACCATTTTCTGTAATTATCCAATCACTGAACGTCACTTTCAATCCCTTATTTGCATATGTGGACCTGAGTGAAAACTATCTACAGTATCCCCCTGCTGGCCCAGGGTGAGAACCTCAGTACATAACAACTTCTTTTTCAAGCGATCTGCATAACTTGCGCATGCTCTCTAGTGCCTTTGGAGTGGTAAACCGCTGCTTGCGGGATATCAAATTTGAAATCCCCACTCTCTGTCACAAAACGCACTTTGTTAATCACCCTATGATCCATGAGTGCTGTAGGAACTCCGAAAGGTCTTGTAGCTGTACCCACCTGCTTGTGAGGTAAAACCATCTGTTTATTTACAGACACACACCGGATCTAGCTGTGCCATCCAAGTCATGTTACGCGCAGAGAGCAAAAGCGATACTATGGAAGTGCGCTTGTGGGGCAAGCAGCTACAGATCGCTCTTGCAAGGGAGCCAAGCCGAAAACTTAAGGGAAGGGAGTCACTCTTGATGCACACATATGACTGCTACTGGTGATGAGCCATCAGTCCTCAGATATGGCAATCAATCAATCAATCAATATCAATCAATCTTGATTGAATTGGCAATAAACAAAGCTCAGGTCGTGAGCAGAACCCCATCCACCAAGGGACAATTCATATGTAATGAATCTACTGTTATATTACAGTATGAGCACTGTAACACCCACCCTTAGTGTCACCCTTATTTAAAGGGTTCGATGGCTTATATTTCCTAGCAATTTTGATGGGCAAGGCAGCTAGCAGCAGATACAGCGAAACGATTATTTGATAATAACTGGTGCAAAATCAATTAAGAATGAAGTGGCCTCCCCAAAATAAATTCACCGGCTGACAGCATTTGGATAAAACCTCCGACCAGCTTTCAAATCGAAGCACCCCTCCCTAGATGGCCAAATTTGCTGGGAAGAAAGCAGAGATTGGGCTAGGCAGGCTCACTCAGGGAGTAGCTCCTGCAGCTGAAGTGTGGCTCCTGAAAAAGGAAGACATGGAGCAAGGCACTGGATGTCAGATCACACGCATGCCACAACATGCCCTCATGTCTCTGTGTGGGCTGTGAGCGGCGTGTGTTTGTGTGTGTGTGTCCACAGATATTATAATTCAGGGCCCATTCTGTGTGTTAGGAATAAGGAAGAAGTTGGCTGAGATGGTAAGATTCTGCACTGGACAACTTAAAAATTCAGGTGAGGGCGATGTCATATTTTTGAATTTTCTCCCTCATTTAAATCTTTCCGCTGGCATGAAAAAAACACACAACAGGCTGCCAGAGAGAAATGTGGTGCATAATTCTCTCTCCGATACGCTTGTTTACTACTCCCAGGGTGTCGCTGTTTAAAGCCAAGAAGCATTCAGAAAATATCCTCTCTCTCCTGCAATGTGAAGTGGTGCTGTCCAGAATTGTACCACTTTAGCCTGCCAAGTCAGTGTAATTGTACAGAACACTCCCCCGGTGAATTTATAAGGCAGGTCCATATTGTGTACCCGTTTGACACGCAACACCCAAAGTTCTTGCTCATATGAATCGCTTTGGGCATTTTCCATGCGCTCAATTTTTAACATGAAACCGCACCGGCTGCTGGCGTCCATCCCCTTCAAAACGCCTCTGCCTCCCTCTTTCTTGCTCGCCCCTTAACAACATTCAGACGTGCACATAAAGGAGGAGGAAGTTTCTGACATCAAGTGTACAAAAATCCACACACACACAAACCCCAAAAATTATTTTGCTTTGGGCAAAATGCCATGCCACTCGTAGTCGTGAGATAAACCTCTGTGAAGGAGACGAGAATCTCTCCTCGCCCCAGCGAACTGCTCTTCTCAGACTCAAAAGTGCCCTGCGAAGAATGTGAGTGAAAGCTGAATTTCACCCAGACCTGAGCCCTTGAGCTAGGGTGGGAAAGACGTCTAAATAAAATAGGAATGGGGCACTCGGTGCCTAGTTAACGTGGACCTGCAAATCGCGAGCTGCACTGAATTTTGCTTTTTGCCATTTAGCTGCATCTAGTGCATTTTTCCTGCACTGAAACGAAATTCAGAATCCGGCTACTCCCTCCCCCTTCCCGCCCCCCCTTCCTTACCTTCCAAGAGGCTTGCCTTATCGTGTCACACCAGATGGGCCATGCAATGCACATCCCTGGGAGATTTTTAATATATATATATATAAATATATATAAAGAAGAAATCTTGTTAGCCTGGAAAACTGTCTTTCAAGGTTTGTCTGTTCCCTTCCCTTGGCAAGCGGTAGGAATAAAGTTGCAAAAGCAAAGGGGGGGTTAAGAGAGAGAGAGAGAGAGAGAGAGAGAGAGAGAGATGTTGGAATGATTGACAGCTCTGAACTATAGGCTCATCCCTTACCTTAGGCCATGCAATCCGATTGGCTGTCTCCTGACATCCCCAAAGCGCAGCACTTTTTAATAGAAGCTTTGGGTAGACCGTCGGGGGTGGGTGGGGGAAAAGGTTCAGTGAGGTGCATTTCTGACAAGGCATAAAGTAATTTCCCCCACTTCGGGAAGACTTTTCCCTGGGTTGCTTTTGGTGGGGGTGGGTGGGTGGGGGTTGAAAGGGCCTGGGGTTTTTTTGATTTACTTGTTTTTACTTAAATGTTTTTCTGCAAACTTCGGGGAGAGTGGTCTTCTCCTCAGCACCAAGCCTGGACTAATGGATTACCACGTGCTCGGATTAATTTTAGCTTTCCTCCTCGCTGATGCCAAGGTGTTAGCCGGTTATCCCATTTGGTGGTAAGGCTTCACTTTCCCCCTCGTCTCAAACTTTTGGCAGCTTGTTTTTCCCATTTGCATCCTGTCTCTGCACATCCTCAGTTCTCTCTCTTAGTGCCCTGCTTTCATTCACATGTTTCTATTCTCCCACTTTTTCTACGGTTAATGCAAGGTTTCTCATTTTGGAAGGGTGACATGCTTCTTAATAATTTTTGGCATTGATAGCTTGATAGTTCGCCTCCCAGCCTCAGCCCTCAGTAGCTTCATATAGCGCCTCTGAATGTAATTTTTAGGCAGCGGACGAGAATGTTGCAAAGCCAGTTGGATGAAAGGATGGCATCTCAGAGGGAGAAGTATAATTCAGATTCATTGTTATTAAGTGTTTTGGCAAGGACCACAATGGAATACTGACAATGTTTTTTAAAAGGCCCTTCGTCAGATGTGTCTTTTCGTTTTAAATAATGTGACCATCCTTCAGTCTCCTCTTAAGTACTTGACCTGAATGGGTAGTGTGTGTCTGTTTTCTTTGGCTATGCTACAATTGTTCTCTTTAATAATGATGATTTGGTCGTATGTAAAATCACTGGGCTACAGAAACACGGTTAACGAAAACCGAGCAAGTTACAAGTTCTGATTTGACGAAGATTTTTGTAACGGCTTGGAATTTTACTTCGCCACTTTCCACGGAAAAGCAAATAAGCAATTTTCGCTCCTACTGGAGTTGTTTCTAGGCTCCAACAAACCAAAAAGATAATCACTAAAGAAAATGTGGTCAAAGACTTTGTATTTTGGGGGGCAGAGACTTACAGTAAAGGCAAATCTAAGGTTCATTGAAAGATGTCAGCATTTAATAATTCAGTATCCCTTTCCGGCAATTTCTCTCCTGATCTGTTAAGATTCTTCCTTGAAGTATATGTGGTGGAAAATGCTCAACCTAATGTGACTAGAAATCACAAAAGCAATGTTAACTTGAGTAACACCTAAAGAAGCCCCTCTTCCATCTTTCAAAAGTCCTTTTCATATTATTCATTCCTTAAGTCCTTTCTAAGCCGACACAACAAAGAAATGAGCTAAAGTAGACTG